ACATGACAGAAAATAGAATAAATAATTTTGAAGTTTTCAACTCTTGTCTATATGCATTGTGAAAATTATTCTGTTCCAAAATCTATTACGTGTAAAAAAAAATGCTTCATTTATAAATTATGCAATTTGTCAAAAAATTTAAAATTTTTTCAAAAATTTTTTATTTGCATATTTGTCATTATTTTTAAATTACCTAACTAGTGAATAATTAAGGAAGTGCTGAGTAAATCTGCATAATATTGTAAGCTAAAACACACTTTTTCACACTTCACATCACTATGTCGATGAGACAGTTTTTCCAGTACGAGATCAATAAGAATGGATGCATACGGCGTCACACCAATGCCACCACCTATTAACACAGCAACTTGGAAATTGCGCCAATCCTGAATAAAATTAAGCTAAGATCAAAGCATAAGAATGACTTAATTTGCAATAACTATTAGTGTATACAGCAAAATTTGACAATTAAAATTAAATCAACATGACGCAATATTCAAATTTAAATTTAGAATGACAGGAAATGAAAATAGTGCATACTTGGTTTCCGTCGCCATATGGTCCATGCAAGTGTAATACTGGGTAAGGTGTACCGTTCAACTGTGCACATGTAATTTGGTTGCGTAAATTCCATGTCCATGGACCAACTGCCTTGATATATAATTCAAGCGTTGGTGCTTGAGGTGCAGAAGCCAAGGAAAATGCGTGAAGCTCATTAAACGCACACGAAAACGCAGGGCATGAAATACGGACCCACTGACCGGAGCGGAAGCGGAATGAATTCGGCCTTTTAAATTGTATGTATATGATATCTGCAAAATTTAAAAACCATCTCAGTAAAGATTACAAGTTAAAAAGATAATTTGATTTCTTCAAAAGACATCAAATGAAGTCTGGTACTATTCGTTTCTTGACCATTTGCCCAATATAAATTCTTGATTATTAAAACACCTCCAAACTTTAAAACTTTGTTGATTTTCACAGATTTCAGCTCACGCATTATCACAATAATGCTGACTCTAAGCTTTGATTATAAATTAATCAAAAAGCAAATTAAATTTCAATAAATTAAAAATACTTTGATCATTCAAAACATAACATTGACAAAATTGATCACCGATTTACGATTTGGTTTTAATATGCAATATAATTTTTGCACTAAATTACTTTGGTTTGAAAATTTTACTTAAAGCACAAATTATCTAGTAAAATTTAATAAGATTATTTCTAATTTTTGTATTTTTCAAGCAGAAAATTACTGAAAGAAAGGTCAATGAAAATTTGATCCATTAATACGCTAAGAAATCGAAATTTTGTAAAGCAAACTTAATTTAATTACATTAACAGTCACGTTAAAAATTAATTTCACATGTGAAATAAACTAAACATGGAAAGTAAAGCACCGGAAAAAATATGTACTAACCTGAAGGCAAAACTGCACCTTTCAGAATTTGCAGTCTTTTATATTGCTGCCGCATGCCAATGATGCGATCAATCACAAAAATAGTGATTGGACCTGCCACATAATACAGGAATTTAGGGCTCTAAAACAAGAAATTTGCTATCAGATTATAAAATGATTGAATCAAAGCTTACAAAGGTAACATGTAGTCTCTGATTTAATCATTTTTGATCAGTAATTTCAAAATTAATGACAAAGTGTGCAAATTTAGTCTCAGTTTGATTCAGCTCATCGACTTGCCATGAAACATAGTTCCTAAAACTTCTTCATTTCATTTTTAGGGCCCAGATCTTAAAATGACTATGCTCAAAATTTTGTAGAATTAGGTAAAATTTTGGACTAACTGCTATTCAATCAATTTTTTGAAATGAATAATTTTTTAGCACCATTATAAAAGTTACTAAGATAACTTTCCTAATATTTGCGTGTAGCGCAAACTGGAACATGTACAGTTTAGTTTTTAGAATTCACAGTAAGTTTACATCTAAAAGCTTGGGAAGTCCATGAAGTACTGTTAAGGCATATAACAAGATATTCAACAAGTGAGTGATTTTAAACGCATGATAAGCTTCCTTCATTACGGCTGGAGCAGAAAACACGTAAATAATACTCATGATAGCAACCAGCAAAATACCAGTGATCCCTGTTGTTGTACCATAAAACCAATAACTGATTGAAGGCAGAAAGTTTGAGCTAAAACATTCAAAGTACCATTAGATTTCGTGTAAACGTCTGAAAAAATTCTTAATTTTTTAGAATTGGAAGTTGCCAAACAGTTTTGAACATTAAAACACCATCAATTTGTGACTACGTCAATCACAAAGAATGTAAGACATTTTGTAAAATTATTATAAAGCTTTCCTTTCAACAAATAACTGGTGCATTTCAATAAACTTACCCAAAAACAGCTTCTTGGAATAAACACTGCAGCCCATCTTGACTTTGGGTTGCTACGTGATAGAAGTTTACGCAGTGTCCAATAGTATGTACCGTAGCCCAAAGACCAGCTGTCATAGCAACAATTTTATGAAATGTAATTGCTGCATCAAGCGGCAAGTATTCGCGCACTGGAGTTTCTCGTAATAACGTGATAACATTGCGACAAACTGTCACCAAAGTAAGTCCCATGCAAAATGATAATGATGCGGCAGCGCCTCGCGTTATTGCGATGCCTATTCCCATTACACGACGCAAGTCTCGATGTTCCGTTTCATATCGATAATCTGGAATTAATATGGTGTAGTTAATGAATTTATTTCACTTATAAGCGTAAAGGAATAACAGTGAGATAATATATGTAAACCTACGCCAAAATCGTTCCAAAAATAGTAAAATATTTGTGGTGAAAAAGAGGAAAAAAATAACGATATGCTGTCGATAACTTTCTAGGTATGAAGCAATTCTATAAAACCAATTCACATGAACACATCCGATTTCTTCGTTAGGCAGTGAAAAACTATTCATACTAGCTGTCCTGAATAAAAAAACAATTTATTCGACAAATGATATTCAGGAAAGTCAAACACATCCGATAGTTTCCTTTTGATTGTAAACTCAAACATACTCATTCAAACTGATATTCATTTGGATGCCACGCATATGAACTCCAATTGGATGACGTACGTGATCCACATGATTGAAAATGGCTTCAAAGTCTTTATAAGACAGAAATTTTGACTCTTTGTCAACTCCAGAACGTTCCAACACTCTATCAATTACTTTATCCTGAACAGCTTCTTCGATTTTCACACCTGCTGTCACGTTTAAAGATTTAACAAAATCGCAAAATTCCTTCTTGTGGACTTTTCCGCAACCTTCTCGATCACACATATCAAATAATAACTCAAGTTTATCGCGAAGAGATCCTGAAACTACTTTTTTATAAAACTTTATGATACCGTGCATCACAATTATTTGTTTCTAACAATAATTTTTACCAAAATTGTTCAAAAATTTTTGTAGCAAACAAAAGAATATGAATTTGCAACATCAGAAAAAACTAAATATTACAAATGAGAAAATGTCCTTATAAGATCTTAGTGGCAGAAAAATTTATTAGTTGTTACCTTTTGAAAACCGTAGAGCAATTTCCAGAAATTCTTGAAAGGTCACATGATCGAAGTTTTGCTTTGCCATGCAAGCAAAAATCCGTTCAACGAATAAGTCATTTTCACGCATTCCTAATGCGTCAGCCATTTCAGCTTTGGTTACTGTAGTAGCCAAAACTTCTTCCGATACTGTTTTTGATGGTACGCAAACTATGCCATCTGAGAGTTCAGGTGAATTAAAGGCCTGAAATATTTTTCTTGTTTGCTTATAGTTAAACTATATATATATGAATATTAACTTCTGCAACCTTTTCTTTTGTTTGTTTATAATTTAATTTGAAAAAAATTATTTTCTTCACTGATACATTAAAGAGCTTAATAATTTACTCTTCAGAAGTAATTAAAAAACTGAGTAATATTGACTTTAAATACATTTACCTTAGCATATGCTTCCCTGAAAAACTTGTCAAGTTTTTCTTGACGGCGTTCGCTCGTTTCTGCTGTTTCGAGAATGAAAGTATTTGGACACCGACGAATAATCATTTGTTTGTTAGTTCGATTCAAAACGCTGCTAAGAACTCGAATAACTTGTGCACATTGATATTCACTTCCCAGACGAATTAGCTAAAATTACTCCCAATAAATCGGAAAGACACAATGTAATTGTTTTTGCCAAATTCCCTTCAACTGTTATTGCTTTGTTGAAAAGACAGACAGCATGTGAGTTTTTAAGTAGTTCAGAAATAATACTCAGGACAGAAACAGGCGCCAAGTAAACGAGTAAAATTACGTAGTCAGCTTCAAATATATAGTCATCCTTAAGAATTTCATGTCTGCGCATTCTATGCCAAACAATTTTTTAATGAAAAAATGAAAAACAAACCAAATCGTAATGTTTGGAGACTGAAACCATCAAAAATGGATTATCGGAACTGTTTGCATCAGAAACTGTAACATTAACAGAAATTGCATCGTCAAAATCAAGAAAACGGAGAAGGCCACCACGAGGTTTTTCCAATCGGACTGATGGCAACATATTAATGACCAAAATTACTGATCGGCTATAATTTCTATTGATCCACTCGACAGCTAAAATCCTGCCTTAGATTATTTACACTCATGGAAAAGGACTGTATATCGAGCTCATTTCAATACAGCTGATCAATACTGATTATACTTTGGTGTGAGAGTAGAAATTTTAGTGGTTGAAAATAGGAACTGTAAACAATTTTAGAGTGCTTTACTTTAAACCTGTCCCGCTAGATTAAGCTATTGCGAGTTAGATCAGACAAGAATGCACATATGAAAATAATGAAAAGTGTTTAATTTCAATTCAGCACAAATTATGAGGTGTCTCGTTTACGACTACAATCACTGAAATCATTCATTACTACCATTCACAATCCTTCAATCAAAAATTAAATATATTCAAGCACTTCTGACCAGAGGACAAGTTCTGCAATTTGTTACTTATGCATGAACTTTTTCTACATTCGATACAGACGCGTAATTAAGAGAGTATAAACTCAACCAGGAATACGAAGGACTTCTTTCTCGTTCGTTTTCTCAATAACTTCATGCTTTTTACTCGGAAAATTGGTACTTTCCAAGCAAATCTGTTTCAAGCAAGGCTCCATAATACCACCCATTCTCTTCCTCTTCTGGATTAGCATATATCCGATTCCGATACAGACTTAAATTATCATTCACCAAATGTTTTTCTTATTGAGATAGATAGATCTGTTATTAATTTGGCTTTTTCTAATTAAAAAATGAAAATTGGAAGTAGGTATAGATGAAAGCGAAGAAAATTTTCACTGAAAAAATTAGTTATGTCTGATCAAAGTTTGTAAAAATAGGTAAGCAAGAAAAAAACTCTAATTACATTTTTTTTGATTGGAAATGAAATATTATTAAATAATAAAAATTATTCTATTAAAATATTATGAAAACTATTTTTTTCAGTTCTGCGACTAAATAATTATAAATTTGCTAGGAAATTATAAAAGTTAAAAATTTTATATTGCAAGCAGAAAATACTCGAATGATACCTAGAGGAATGATTGCTAATGCAATGCACGAATAAATGAATGTTACTTCATTACCAGTGAAATGATCGAAACGCATAAAAGGTACGCAAGGTTCTAAATCACTAATATTTACTTGAAACGGCTGACCACATGGGTCACCATCGCGCCAAATGAATACCTTAAATTGTTAATATGCTGTGGGAAATAGCAAAAAATTGATTTTGAAAACTTTTCAAAACACCGAATTTGATTAAGATTTATTGAGTCAGCAAATATTTTAGTCAAATGATTATTACTTGGTATTAAGTACCGATTCTTTTTACGCTTGTTTGACTCAAACATCATAAGCACTTATTCATGTGATTTAGATCAAAAATTAGGAATTTAAATTGTGCGCAAAAATTTTTTTGGGAAGGCAAAAAAGTACTTCTTCCACAAAATTGAATGAATAACAAAACAATTGACTGGATAAAATGTTAAGTGTATCTTTTGCTGAAATATTGAAATATAGCATTTTCTTAAGCGCTTATTGTTAATATTCAGAGAGAATAAGCACCTAAAGTTGAAAAACAAACATTTTCTTGCAATTCATGTTCATTGATAAATGTTGTTTCACGTATAATATCACGTAGCGTTGTCGAGTGTATTTTTGCAATTTCATCTTCCGTAAGCATCCTAGAATTCACACAATTACTCGTTCAAACAAATTATTGCAATTTTTTGAAACATACAGTCGATATCAAGTTAGTAACTGTGTTATTATAAAAAAAGAATTTCGAAAAAAAATTTTTTTAATCCCCAAGTATATTTGAGAATGTATTTTTTTGTGAAAAAAAGAATTTGCTAGTATGTTTAGAGTTTTGTGTCTTAGCTTCTTCCAAAATAGCGCGAAGGAAAAACTGAAACATTTGTTCTGCGAAATAAAATTTTTTAATGCGCTCAATCTTCTTCAAAAGCAATAAACCAAACAGCAAAATGAGACTGAACCCATTGAGTGTGTTCTCGAACCAAAACCGATCGCCATCTCTTAATCTTAAGAACTGGTCAAGAATGATTGCTCCAAAAAGTTCTCCCGGACCTTTGCCGTTCGTTTCTAACATTCCGCCAACATAGGCGTCTAGTTTTGAAATGTCACCATTATACAGCTTCTCCAGTTCTTGAAACATCTGCAAAATCAAAATTTTGAAAAACTGAAACTTTTCCGTCAACATTAGTCTTATATCAAAAATTATACATTTTTATTGATTGAATGAGCTCAGTAACTATCATTAAGTTACCAAATTTTATTCTGTAATTTTACTTCCGCTGAATTTTGCTTTCAGAACTAAAACTTTCTAGTTTTGAGCAAGCAGTTTACCAAAACTTAGACGAACTTTCTGGTCTCAAATAACTTTTAGTACTACAAAAATTTGCAGTAAGCATACCTCTGGTTTCTCTTTATACAATTCAGTGTTGATTGTTGTCCAATTTCTGGGGGAAAGATTATAACTTTTGCGTAATTCGTTATATGACGGTAGACCATTGTCACGACCACGCATGATGGAAGTTGAAACGACGTCCAAACGTGTGAAATGCATTGGACCAAAAACAAAGTCTGCAATGCATATTTTAAAATGTCGTAAAAATAGAATTGTAAGGTTTATATCTCTGAGTTTTTTATCGATTCCAGAACAATTTTTGAACGGAATAATCATTCAATTTGAAGACATTTTTATTAAAATTGTTAGGAATATATGCATTTATGGAGTAACACGATATTTATTGCAAAACGAGTAGGTGAGACCTCGTAAATCTTCCACTACAATAGCATCTTCGCCTTCGGCAATTTGTGATGCCATTCCAAGCACAATCTCCTCTACTGAATATTCCTGAACAATATCTTGTGCATTCCACCAGTTCTGGCACAATCTCAAAGCTGGATAGCCACCGACTTCATCTCGAAATTCACATTTCCCATTGTTCCGTTTGCGAAACAACAATGCTGGTGGAACCTAGAACTAGTGCTTTGCAAACACATAACTGTCATGTCCAGTTCGGCCACAATGCAAACAATTTTTATTTATGGAACAAATCAATCAATAAATTAGCTAATCTACTCTATTTTGGGTTCTGTCAAACTGCAGCATATACAGAGCCAAGTTTCAAATCATCATAACCACCTAACCAGACGAAAAATAAGTTTTGAAACAAATTCTGTAATATTTATAGAAGTTTTCTGTGGAAAAAATTTCAACAAAACAATTTCGATTTTGAATCTAAAACTGAAATGCTAAAAATAATATGAAAAGCAAAAATTTGCATACAATCGTGTGAGAAAATCGAAAAGCAGCAGTAGCAAAGGCATGAGATATGCCAGGAGGTACATAAGGCTTATATTTCTCGTACGGCGGTACAGCGTCGCGATCAGCAAGGATTACAGGCAGAAAATCATATAAAGTAATTTTTTGTAGTGTGGCGATCACCCATCGACGAGCACTCTAAAGTTTATGTCAGTGAAAGAAATCATAACAGCAGTATTTTACACAATTTTTCATACAGTACAAATGAGAATCACTGGTGGCACAAACTTGAAAAACTTCTTCATCCGTCCAGTTTGGATGGCTTTCTTGAATCCGTCTTGCTTGTATATTATGCCAACGATATAATATTAAACCCAAACTCAGCAGTCCTGGATTTTCATTAATTCGAGGATCACCCAACACTATAATTACACTTCCAAAGTAAATTTATAGTCTGAATGCTAAAAAATGGACGAATATTAATTGTTTCTACCATTTTTTCAAAGCAAATAATGAAAATAAAATTCAGATCTTCAAAGTAAATTCTGTGTTCAATTTTCTCAAAAGATGTATATCATCAAATTGCTCAAAAAATGTTCCTATCAAATTTAACAAAAAGCAGTAATTTTCAAATTTCGTGATCACTGTTAGTTCCTTTTTATCAATTCAAAAAATGTTTTCAAAATTTGATTATTTGAAGTAATTATTATGAAGAATAATAATATTCGAGAAAGCAAAATGTTATTTTGCTTACATTTTGAAGTTATTTTTCTCATTATATAATTATTTTTAGTAACAATCAAAACCTTTTTTCTTTATTTCATTTTAATTCTACACCTTTATTTTTTACAAGTACATTATCGTTAAATATGATTTATTTAATATTCATGCAGCAAAAACAAATTGCTAATTGGTTGCTGTCATCTAAAGTGTTGCTGGAATATTTTATATAAATGCTTTTAGCATTGATATTTGGTTACTGACATTCAATAGTCTATGCGCATGGTATTGATATTTTTACGTATGAATACTGCAAGAACTTACTGAAAAGTCGTTCAGGATTCATAAGTCTATGTATTTGCGGAGGTGCTGGATTGATAAGTGGAATGTGTGGGCCATTCAAGGGAGGATATCCTTTCATTGATCCTTCCAACAAAGATCCGTTCCTCCAGGATCGTAGTGTAGCCACCCATGGCTCCTGGGTGCTGTACAAAAACGAAGCATCGATCCAGCTTGTACGTTCATTCACCTGTAACTTCCAATACCACCATTCCATTTAGGATTCTCAAGTAGTAGATTCATAATATTAAAGAAGTTTGCCACAGAACAAATCAATTAAATATGAATAACACGCTGTATCTTTACATTGTAAACTTCAAATGTTATTTAAATTTTCCAACAGTTAAAATATTCTAAAATCTAGCAAATTTAAAACCAAAGGTGGGTTTGATCTTTATTATTTGCAAATTTAAAATTATTATTCTGATATTTAAAATGATTTTAAGCTATGAGGTACAACGTAAAAATGTGATTTTTACAAGTTAAATGAATAATGCAGTCAAAATGTATTCTCACATGTCGTTTCCAATATAATCACTTAATCATAATTATTAATTAAATTCAAATATATGGCAGTATTAATCAACAAATTGAATGGTTTAGAGCTAGCTAATAAGAGGGAAAGCATAATACTTACATCTTTTCATCAAAAGAATTTGAATTTAAGGCATTATAGAGTTGTTCAGAATTATGAATTTTCCGAAATATCTTTAAACTTAATCTCTGCTTATGGAATTGATTTGCTGATAAATAGTACATCCGTACATCAACTTAATCAGCTAAAGTGAGAAATTATTAGGTTATAAAGTGACTAATTTTTGAATATACCCGATTCATAGATTTAGTATTCTATCTCAAATATGATTAGACATGTAACGATAGACTGAAAATTAAGCTTTGTAAATTGTACACAATTTAAAACCTTTTCTGAAGTGTTTTTTTTGGCAGTTTACAGTCGTACGAGAAATTCGCTCGACATTTTTACCTGACACCTTATTCCTTTCTTTGATTCGAAAACATTACTCACATTATTCTGCTTTAGTTTCAGAAGGAAATAATTTAAGGCTTTCACAAGAAACTAGTTCGGAGAAAGCGAGCCAAACTGAAATCTGTCAAGAGCAAAGCTTTTACGATTCATAACATTATTTTTTTCAATGAAAACCACTAATGGTTTAGATAAGCAGATAAAATGGATTAACAATGAACAATTTGAAATAACAACAAAGTTATTATCATTAATTTAACAAGTTTATCATTCCTGAACAACAATAGCTATTCTTTTTTTCAGAAAAAGTTAAAAAAAATACTTTTGAAAGTTACTGGAATTATTTTAAAAAACTGTAACTGATTTTACTAACACTTCCATGTGTTAACTTAATTATCCTTCTGTGGTTGCTAAAGAAAATTTAGTGCGTGATTGAGTAAATAAAAGTTAATTATATTTAATCAGATCACTTCTCGTTCAAAAACAAACTATGAAGAGACAGTAATTCTGAAGTGGATCACAATCTCAGGAGATCAGATAAATTATGCAATAAACTAGAAATAAAAGCATGATTTGAGTTTTTTTAAGATTGTGTGTGAGATATGCCAAATTTTAAGGTAAAAACAAGCAGTTTATCAAGTATACATCTTTTTCTGCACTTTAAAGTTTGTAGAGATGGATTTTTTTCCATAAATCCGAGAAAGATTATCTGAATCAACCTACGCTGTCAAAAGCAAACACAGGCATAAATTTAATAATTTGAAGTTTTTTTAAAAAGAAAAAAACCTTTAAAATAATCGGAAAAAAAGTTTGCATCAAAGATTGCTTCGAGATTTACGATTAAGATAAACTTAAGATGATGAATAACACTTCAGATGGCGAATCGAATGTTCATATTAAGGAGTTATATCGATATTGGTATTAGTCACTATATCTATGTAAAGTTAGAATTTGATTTATTAAATTCTAATCACCAGGAATTACAATATTATTTCAGTTGTATGAATTTATGGCTTCGAAACTGGAAATGGGAACCAATATTAATGATAACAAACTAAATTGCACCATAAATAATTGATGAAAAATATACAGCAAACTAAAATTGCATCATAAGTATTCGTTGGGAAATGCCTGCAAAACCCGTTTCTCTAAATTTACCCTCATTTATGCATCACGAGATTGAATCCTACTGCATTTTGCGATGAAAGGCAGTGCAAAAATCAGTTGACTCACTTTCATTAATTTTCAGATTAAAAAATGCCAGATTACACTTGTAGCGAAAGTCGAAAGTGAAATTTACAGCACTATTTCAAACAGAATCATGAAATTTCATATAATTTATGATTTTACAATTTGACATAATTTATTATTGATTATTTAATTGCAAAACGTAAGATTTTATAGGCGTGAAAATAAAGAATTGAAATTACTGACTTGTTCACGTGGTACGTTAAATCCATGACCAGTATTTTTGTCATACTTTGCCCGGACAAATGGAATTTCTGTTCCACCTTTACATTGAGTATCAAATACAGCATCACACTTAGCCACAGGAATTTTGTGCATCTCTAAAGGACAGCCAACCAAAGTTGATTGCATAATTTCATATGCTATAACCTGACCTGAAACCAACGATTTTCATATATCAGCATGTCGAATTAGCGATGATAATGATCGTTTTGCTGCCAAAAATTAAATTAATTACCTACCATTACTTTGGTTTTTTCTGAAACCAGAAAGCATAACTGAAAGTCACTTCAAATTACATCAATAAATTTTTACTATTTTTTGCTTTCCATTCTCAAAGCAATGGTAAAATGATAAAGATCGACAGAATGATGAATATTTCCTTGATTTTTTTTCACTTCATATCGGTCTTTCGTTCCTCTTACAACTTATCTATAGAGGCAAATTTTTCGTAAAGCAAAAAGTTTTCAAATTTTTACACTTTTGTTATTTTCTAAGAAATTCTCTGTTTAATGCTTTTGCACTGAACTCATATTTCTCATCTTTTGACTTCTCAACCGGTCAAATCTTGTACGAAGTAGTCAAACTTTTATCTCATCCCAATAATTTGTTCCTGAGTGAAAATATGCAAAAACATCTTTTTTCGCACCACATCTTTCCCCACTCATAATACTCTTTATAAAAATGTACAGTATCATTTTGCTGTAATCTAGCTCTTTCTTCAAATTAAAAATAAAATTTTACGTAGAAACAAACGTGCTTACTGTATTTTTCATGCATATTTTGCAATTTTTCAGTTAAAAATAAAGCGTTTCTAATATTAAAACATTAGGAATATATCTCATGAAATTTAAAAACTCAATTTTGTGTTATTTTATTTGAAAAAATATGAGTCGAAGGCAGTAAAAATTTTAACCATCAATATTAAAATTAGGATTTTGAGATGATCTTTTTAATCGGGACAAAGTGTAAAATGAAGGAGAGATTTAATCTCACTGAAAAATGCAAGCATTGTTGTGATATTTCGCTTGTTCCTTATTCCTGATGGACCTTTAAAAACTATTTCTGAAATTACTCGTGCTGAGGGTAAACTTCCATCAATCATATAAACACCATCAAGATATTTGCTTGGAGCATCACGATGCAAATGTGCTCCTAAAATATGCGGTGATAGAGTCATAATTAATGTTTTTTCTGTCGAAAAATAACTTGAAAATGAGTGAAAATTAAAATAATTCCACAAAATAGATTAATTATGTGATTAATTTTGTAACTTAAATAATCAAATTTTTTATCGCTTTCGGAACTTCCTAATTTTGAGCTTAATTATAGACAAGTCAGTGAAAAAATTTTTGCAATTTTCAGCCAAACTGCGGTAATTTATTTTTTATATGCAAAGAAGGGTGCTCAATTAGTCAACAGCACCATTTTGAACGTAACATTTTGCCTGACATAAAATGAAATTTTTGAGTAATTGGCAGTTTCACAGTCACTGAAATTTGATTAATATTTGTTTCACTCCTTAAAAAATATTCTTTCAACAATAATAAAATCATAACCGAAGAAATTCAATTAGTAACACACCAACGGTGCCCCAATGTGGATTGGCAAGATTGTTAAACCATCCATCATAGCGTTGGTATTCATAAGTCTTTCCAAGACCTGAAATATTTATTGAAACCAATATTTGACTTATTTTTATTCTCTTAACTTTGATTTCTATTTTTCTAACACTTTTTAGAGTTGGCGAACGAGGTTTTATTCGTCATAACTTTTTGAGTGTTCCTGTGTTTCTTTAAGCATTTTTATGGCAAAAATGAAGAATAAGAGTTTTAATAAATCTTAAAAATTAGCTTGTGGAATTTCATTGAACTCCTTAGCAAATGTAAAGAACGATTTTTAAATATTTCTACACACTATTTTACCAATTTCTATGATTTGTCATAATAATGCTCAACTTCTGTTAATGACAAGTTTTGAGAGGTGTAAATTTGTTTGTGTTGGCAATCTAAACTGAATATATAATTTAATTACACTAATTACTTAAAACTTGCCATAACTTCACGGCATAATATTACTAAAATTTAGCAAAACCTAAGATTTGCCATGAAATAATTTGTTGCTTAAACAACTGAATATTTTCTATAGCTCCAATTTCAAAACTCACCATTTACTGAAAATAATAGGCACGGCAGGAATAAAATAAACAGCGATATTAGCTCTGCAGTTTGTAGTATCATTTTTGGCATTTCTGCATAAAAATTCATTTTGTTTCTATCAATTTTTGAAATAATTTTAGGCTTTATATGGAAAAGGAAGTTGCAGCATGCACTTACTGTACTCACGTGAAATGCTTGTAAATGTACAGAATATCAGTCTATGAACATACGACGTAAGGCTCCCGACACTTATGAAGGAAAAATTGCAAAACTAGCGCATATGAAATAAGGCATCTTTTGGAAACACACTCACGTGAGTACAGCCTAATTGTGTAATATATTCATGCTTGCATTCACAAGAAAAAAGGACAAGAAATATTTGATGACAACAGGTTGGTAATTTATTAAAAGAAGATTTACGAAGAATTCAATGCGTGTTTAAAAAGATGAAAAATGAATGAATGAATGACTGGACGAATGAAAGAATAAATGGAGAATTATTGAATAACATATATTACTACAAGTATTATCAAGAAATACTGCAATGCAGAAAATAATTTAAATCGCCGCAAGAAAATTTCAGCACAAGACAGGCACTAGTGTCGCGGAACAGGTGAAACGGGTTGGAGTTGAATTAACAGCTCTAATTTTGATTATTCACTTCAAAAATGATAGCAGAACGATGAAGGAGAAACACATCCAAGCATCATTACAAGTAAAGAAAAGAGTAATGACTAAATCATTTTTAAGGTTTCCACTGTCATCAATTAGTAAAGGTGCTTATTACTGAACTGAACTGAAATGGAAAACTTGCATCTGAACTTGGCAAAAATTAGTAGAGTGGAATAGCACGGCAATAGATGTTGCCATTGTAGTCGTAACTACTAATTTATTATTTAAACTCTAAAGGTTAATTAAACACTCTAGTGTTAACTTTTAAAAAGTTTATGAGACTCAAAGCAAAAATGTAGTATTTGGCAATGAAATCATGCGCACTTCTGAACTATTAGTTTCAAAATTGGCTTGCAGTCATTAACACCTCTAACTTCAATTAAAGGAGGAAAACAATGATAATGACAATTAAAAAAAAGTAAAACTTTCATTTTTTTTTCATCTGAAGAACAAACTATGTAAATATATTATTGTAATTGCAGTTCTTGCTTATAACCAATTATCGACTTTATGTCATTTTATCATTTTTTTGATCGCAAGCGAAAATTCTGAAGCACATAATTACATAAATAAAAATAAGCAAGTAACTAAATAAGTGAATAAATGAATGGATCAAAGAAAATGAAATATATATATAT